GTACATTTTCGTACGACTGAACTGGTACTAATTTGTACGAATTCGCCACTAAACTGGCAAAACGTAAAATACTTGACGTTTTCTCGTGAGATCAGGCTGGTATTGTTGTCTCTTTGCTCAGCTCACCTCTTCATGTCTTCAAATGTCAGTGGTTTGTTCACGTTACACTGACAGTCACATATAATCTTAACCAAAGTACACAGTCTGAGCCGATAAGGAGCCATGATAATTAGTTCACGTTTCGAGTTGTCTGATTCTTGAGTCGTTCGTTCATCACGTAACAGAATGACTCAAATCCGAGAACTCCCGAGTTGAAGGGATCAATTCCCAACCTTTTTCTTTGGGCCCCCCCCATATATATATATATATATATATATTATGCGACGCAGTGGCGCAGTAGGTAGCACGTTCGCCTCACAGCAAGAAGGTCGCTGGGTCGCTGGTTCGATCCTCGGCTCAGTTGGTGTTTCTGTGTGGAGTTTGCATGTTCTCCCTGCGTTCGCGTGGGTTTCCTCCGACAAGAAAATGAATGAATGAATAAACGTATATGATTGGCCCGTGATGAACGAATGACTCATACCCGATAGAGGACTACAGAGATGAACACATCAATTCTTTTTCCGGCTCTAAACGCATATAATTGGCCCGTGAAGAACAAATGACTCAGACCCGATAGAGGACTCGAGATATGAACTCAAAAACTGTCCTTGTAAAGCACCAAAACCAGCACACACACACTCTCTAGAATGCTTTCACGACTGCTGAAGTCCTTCACCTGCCTCTGCAGTGATGAAAGCATTGCGGCAGAACCGTTTCTCCACACGCCGCTGATTCCTGACCACAGAAACGCTGCTAAAACAAGAGACGCTAATCAATTGACCTCAATTACAGCCCAGCAGATATGCTCCTGCTCACACTCGCTCACCCCAAATTACCCATCATCCTCTCAGAGCCACATGATGGAGGACGGAGAGCTTCCAGTTAAACAGAAACAAACACTTCCCAGAGGAGCAGTTTATTACATCGCCACAGACACCGGCCTCATTCATATCAAGCTGCAGTCTAGATGGTGTTAGTGTGTAGATTTCAGAAACGCACAAACAGTTCCAATATTTTTACACTTACTATACAATATCATTTTCTTGTTTATTTTTGATTTATTAATGATAAAAATTACAAAATATAATGGTTAAAAAAATTAGATACAGTTGAAGTCGAAGAAGTTGAAGAATTATTAGCTCTGTGAATTATTCACCCCCGTTGATTTTTCCCCTAATTTCTGGTTAACGGAGAGCAGATTTTTTCAACAGTTTTATAATCATAATAGATTAAAAAACTTATATCTAATAACTGATTTATTTTATCGAGCTCTGCGTCCCTCCGACTTGTGTTTGTGTTTTCGTCTGTCTGCAGCGTGGTGCTTCATCCCCAGCGTCTCAGTCTTGTTGGTTTCGGTTTTGGTCGGCGCTGGGATGAAGCATGCACACTGCGTGTGTGAGCGCATGGTGAGTGTTTTCATTCATTGTGTGCTCGTGTCTTTCGTCTGTTGTCAAAGCACGTGGCTATGTGTTTACATTGTGGTCACGTGCTTTTGTCGTGTGCTTCAGTGTTGTGCTTGTCTTGTCATGAACATGCGGTTAAGGAGTTCTCTCATTGGCTGCATGTTCTTGTCCTGTTTTATGTGAGCGCATGGCTTGTGTTGTTTCTCTGTGTCATGCGCTCTCCCGTCTATTGTCTAGTCCCACACTCCTTGTTAACTCATTATTAGTTTGTCATGTTCACCTGTGTGTCAATTTACTTTTGCTTTATAATCCCCTCATGTTTTCAGTCCTGTGCCAGTTCGTCGTCTAAACTCCCCATGTGTTCCTGCTCTTGTTCTTGTTGTGCCAACCCAGTCAAGTTTGTTGGTGTTATAGTTATGTTTTTCCCCCTTCGGGGTGGTTTTTATTGTTCTTTTGTTTTATTTTTATTATCAATAAATCATCCTGTGTTTGCACTTGAGTCCTCGCTCCCCCATCCTTCCTGAACCGTGATATAACTAGGTTAATTAGGTTAACTAAACAGGTTAGGGTAATTAGGCAAGTTATTTTATAATGATGGTTTGTTCTGTAGACTATCGGAAAAAAAATGCTTAAAATGGCTAATGATTTTGACCTTTAAAAAATGGCTTTAAAAAAATTAAAAACTGCTTTTATTCTAGCCGAAATAAAACAAATAAGACTTTCTCCAGAAGAAAAAATATTATCAGGCATACTGTGAAAATTTCCTTGCTCTGTCAAACATCATTTGTGAAATATTTAAAAAAGAAAAAAATAAATCTAAGGGGGGTTAATAATTCTGACCTCAACAGCATATGGGTAATGAAAGTATTTAGACCCCCTTAAATTTTTAACTCTTTGTTATATTGCAGCCATTTGCTAAAACCACGTAAGTTATTTTTTCCCTCATTAATGTACACACAGCAGCCCATAATAACAGAAAATTACAGGACTGTTGACATTTTTGCAGATTTATTAAAGAAAAAAAACTGAAATCTCACATGGTCCTTAGTATTCAGACCCTTTGCTGTGACACTCATTTATTTAACTTAGGTGCTGTTAATTTCTTCTGATCATCCCTGAGCTGGTTCTACACCTTCATTTGAGTCCAGCTATGTTTGATTGTACTGATTGGTAGGGTTGGGTAACGAAACCCCGTGCCTTTGTAACCGCTATGTACCAGACCGAATCAGCATATGAATTTCAGAGCCACTTGACAAGCGTCAAGGAGTGCATTAAAGGCACACATAGGCACGCATTGTGTCACACCGTTGAGGAATACGGACAGGCAATGTCGGGCATTTGTTCTTGTTGCCTAGGGAATGGACGCGTGCAACGCACACAGTACAGCACATTAAGTAAACAAGAGCTCTCTTCAGATCAACACGCATGATTGCGTTCATCAAATTTGCCTAAACTAAGTGTACTAAAGCGTATTTCACAAGCAAGGACTCTGACACAGCAACATGAAGCAGATGCTTTACAAAAGTTGTGTGTAGAGGGGAAACACGTCAAACTTAATGACACATTTGAGGGCGCATGGAATCAACTTAAAGGCAGAGGAGGGTCTTTGAAATCTTGCGACATCAAATGGCACTTTCAATGAGTACGTACATGGCCACCAATGCTCCGATTTTGATATAGTTAAGACAATACTCTGATTAAAAGTCTAGACTACCATGTAAACAGTGATTTTTGATTACCTTAAAGGACCACAGACACCCGTGTTGAACATGAGTTTTTTTCTTTCCATTCAACATGTGGTATTAAATTCCATTAAAAGAGCAGCCCTTAGTTAATGCTCGCATAAAATACCTCAGTTTGTCATGGGGCATGAATGAAATGTTCCTGAATGAAAGTGAAACTGCAGTTAAAGTCGGAAATTAAAAAATGAAAGTCTGAAATTACATGAAACTGGAGGAAACATGGATAGCGTGGTGACGCAGTGACGTTAATCGATCTATGTACTATAACACGTATCACAAAGCAACATTCAAAAAGCAACTCATGTAAACATCTTAATTATATTATTGTCTTATTCAGATTAAGGCAAATCATTAGATTACTGATAGCCATGTAAACATAGTCACAAGGCTCAACCCTAAAAAAGGAGTTCAGTATTTTGATGTCAGCCTTTCAACGTTAGTAGTAGTAAGCTAATATAATTTCATAATGCACATCTTAAATTCATGCTAACCAACAAATGATCAAAAGAAATATATTAATGTAATTTAATATATAAAATATTAATTGATATTTGCTTTAAACTTTAAGTATATTGTTCTATTAAAAATATTTTTGTCAAATAAAAAAAGATTTTGTCAAATAAACGATTTTTCTAGAGTCGTCCACCATAATTTTGTAGCTCAAAAGTATCGGTTCAGGCACCATTTTGGCACCGGTACCATTTTGAAAATATCGGTTTAGCACCAGTATCAAAATAACCCCAAACGATACAGAACCCTACTGATTGGACTTGATTAGTAAAACCACACACCTGTCTATATAAGACCTTACAGCTCACAAAGCATGTCAGGGCAAATGACAATCATGAGGTCAAAGGAACTGCCTGAAGAGCTCAGGAAAAGAATTGTGGCAAAGCACGGATCTGACCAAGCTTAGAAAAGAATTCTGCTGCACTTAAGGTTTCTAAGAGCACAGTGGCCTCATATTCCTTAAATGGAAGATGTTTGAAACGACCAGATCACTTTCTAGAGCTGGCCGTCCAGCCAAACTGACCAATCAGAGGAGAAGAGCCTTGGTTGCTGATAGATAGATAGATAGATAGATAGATAGATAGATAGATAGATAGATAGATAGATAGATAGATAGATAGATAGATAGATAGATAGATAGATAGATAATAGATAGATAGATAGATAGATAGATTTAAAAAGTTCATAGATAGATAGATAGATAGATAGATAGATAGATAGATAGATAGATAGATAGATAGATAGATAGATAGATAGATAGATAGATAGATAGATAGATAGATAGATAGATAGATTAAAAAGTTCATAGATAGATAGATAGATAGATAGATAGATAGATAGATAGATAGATAGATAGATAGATAGATAGATAGATAGATAGATAGATAGATAGATAGATAGATCGATAGATCGATAGATAGATAGATAGATAGATAGATAGATAGATAGATTAAAAAGTTCATAGATAGATAGATAGATAGATAGATAGATAGATAGATAGATAGATAGATAGATAGATAGATAGATAGATAGATAGATAGATAGATCGATAGATCGATAGATAGATAGATAGATAGATTAAAAAGTTCATAGATAGATAGATAGATAGATAGATAGATAGATAGATAGATAGATAGATAGATAGATAGATAGATAGATAGATAGATAGATAGATAGATAGATAGATAGATAGATAGATAGATAGATAGATAGAGCTCTCTGATTGGTGGACAGGTCTGTCACTCACCGTAGTGTGGTATAATGGCCCAGGCCATGGCTGAGGCGTAGATCCCGCCCACCATCCAGAACATGCAGAGCCAGCTGAGGTGCTCCCCGCGCTTCTCCCGGGCCAGAAACTCTGCGAAATACGAGAACACGATGGGGACTGCACCGCCAATCCTGCACAAAAAAAAAAACATAAAATCACATACTTACATTTAAGATTTAGTATAAATATTTAAAAGAACGTTTTATGTTCACCAAGGCTGCATTTGCTTGACCAAACATACTGTGAAAAAGCTGAATCTCGTTCTTGTTTAAAATATGTTCTAAAATGTAATGTACCGAATTGCTAATGACTACACTTTGTTCTTATTTGTGTATATATGAAGAGTTCACATGCAAAAGCCGCTAAACACCACTTCCACCAAAAATGAGATGATGATATTAAGCGACTGCTTTAGCCACATAGTACACCATCAACAAATACATTTGCTTCTAATCATCTTAATCGCAGCGTCTGCGCATTCAGAAATAACTGTTTGTTGGCAAAAGCTGCTAAACGCCACTTGCCTTTGACAGCGAAAGCCTCTATATTGCGAGAATCAATCAGGAGTGTGAACCGAATCATATGTTTTCAACGAAGCAGCGCGCTGAAACGTTGGTTTATGAGGAGACTACGAGACTTCGAGATTTAGATTTTAAAAGATAAAGTATGATGAACTGCATGAGTCTGTCCGACTGTCAGTGAATAGCAAATGAAAATGTCTCTTACCTCAAAACTCTGTGCATTATAAGAAAAAGAAAACACACTGTACAGTCGGAAGTGTAGCATGCATTCATAACGTTTTTGCGCAGCGATGCTACTTTAAATGAGTCTGGTTTACTATACATTAAACAGCAACTGCGTTTCACGAAAGACAGAGTTAAGATGTCATTCTTTTATCCCACGTGGATGCTATAAAGATAAACAAGAGACCAAGACCTTGAGTATAGTGACAATGAATGGATGACGCCTTTTAAAATGTGCTAATTTAAGCTATTTCTTAAAAGATAATATGCATAAGACTATACTAATATTATTTCATACTAACTATACGTCTGATAAGCTTTTTATATTAATGGATAATGCACAGATATTTATGTTTCACAATATTTATACTCTACATTTTTTAATCTACCAAGCTTTGCTTAAAGTAGCTATGTTTCCATCCACCTATTATTATGCGCATTTTGCATATGCCCATAAAAAAAGATGCGCATAAATTTTTTAAATGTGCATAAAAAATTATGCGTATAATTGAATAGATAAACCTTTTATTCAATAAGAAAAGATGCGCATAAACTGCGATGAAAAACACTTTTACCATACAAATTCGCATGTATGTTTAATGCGCATTAAAACAGGTCATGTGATTTTGTGATAAGAGATCATGTGATGATGAAAATGTGTGTAAATGGACAAACCAGCAGGCTGAGCACACTGTAAACCATCTGAACTGTTGTTTTGGTCATTCTAAAGCGCCTTGCCGTTTCAGTATTAGTGGAAACGCTGCCTTATTTGCACAACTTTTATGCGATAATCCAGTTTTGCGCATAATGTTAATTTGCATTTTTGGATGGAAACATAGCTAATATTTACATCGCTCTACTTACATTAAATCTACAGGGAGGGCCATTTACATGGATGCACCTTAATAAAATGGGAATAGTTGGTGATTTTAACGTCCTCCTGTTTGTGGCACATTAGTATATGTAAGGGGGCAAACTTTTCATGATGGGTGGTGACCATGGTGGCCATTTTGAAGTCGGCCATCTTGGATCCAACTTTAGTTTTTTTCAATAAGAAGAGGGTCATGTGACACATCAAACTTATTGGGAATTTCACAAGAAAACAATGGTGTGCTTGGTTTTAATGTAACTTTATTCTTTCATGAGTTATTTACAAGTTTCTGACCACTTATAAAATGTGTTCAATGTGCTGGCCATTGTGTTGAATTGTCAATGCAACCCTCTTATCCCCCTCTTCCCACACTTATAGCAACACTACAGGAGAAATGCCAGCACAGGCTTCCAGTATCCGTAGTTTCAGGTGTTTCACATCTTGTATCTTCAGTCTTTACACCATATACAACAAAGACAGTGGGGCCATTCTTCATCAATGGAAACCTCGAGGCCACTGGATATTTGAAATTGCTAAAAAAACACTGAAGCTGGCAAGTTCCCTGAGTTTTTCCAGCAAGATGGTACACCATTACATTACGGGTGTCAGGTCCGAGCATTCTTAGATGAACAGTTTCCTGAAGAGTGGATTGGTCGTAGTGGGCCAGCTAAATGGCTCCCAAGGTCTCCCGATCTGCCCCCCTTAGACTTTTATCTTTAGGGTCATCTGAAGGCAATTGTCTATGGTGTGAAGATACAAGATGTGCAGCACCATTTTATGAAGATGCATCCATATAAATGGCCCACCCTTTCAATCCCAAATATTACAAATGACAACAGATTAAGATTTAAATAATGTCAGCTTTAATGTTATTGATTAATGCACTTGACAGATTTCATTCATTCATTTTCCTTCTGCTTTGTCCAGGCCCGGATTGGCTAATCGGGAGCACCGGGAGAATTCCCGGTGGGCCGGTCCGTTTTTTGGCCGTGAGGGCTGGTGTCCCTAGCTGCTTGCACTCTTAGCAGTTGCACTTTTTTCATTTATTTATTTATTTGACCATAGCCACACTATTTTTATTCATTATTTTGCCGCAGACCCAAACTTTTTATTTATTTTCTCGCAGCCCCGTGAGCAAAATGCAGCCCGCAGGTTAATGATGTAACTAAGTTATCATTCCACCCCAAACAGCGGCACCTTAGTGAATATTAATTAATATTAATGAACATTACACCTGCTCAATGAAAATCAGATGATTCACTACATTAATAAATCTGACGTAACTTGATCAGAAATCTAAAAAGGGGAGAAAAAGAGTAGACATCAATAGCAGCAGATGACAGTGCAATACTTATTTTATATACCGAACTCATCACCCTAACTGTGCCGTCTTGGTCTAGTGGTTAGTAAGTTGCGTTAACATGCTGCCGACCCGAGTTTGATCCTCACCATGATAATTATTATTATTTATTTTTTTTCATTTTTAGTGTTAAGACATATAATACTGTTTGGGTTACTTATGTAGGGGTACATTTTGTG